GTCCAGATATTATTGTTACACAGATAAAACGTTCAGACATTATTGTTGCACAGATAAAACGTTCAGATATTATTGTTGCACAGATGAAACGTCCGGACATTATTGTTGCACAGATAAAACGTTCAGATATTATTGTTGCAGAGACGAAACGTCAAGATATTATTGTTGCACAGATAAAAAGTTCAGATATTATTGTTTCACAGATCAAACGTCCAGATATTGTTGTTACAAAGACGAAACGTAGAGATATTATTGTTGCACAGATAAAACGTTCACATATTATTGTTACACAGATAAAACGTTCAGATATTATTGTTGCACAGATAAAACGTCCAGATATTGTTGTTACAAAGACGAAACGTAGAGATATTATTGTTGCAGAGATAAAACGTTCAGATATTATTGTTGCTCAGAATAAACGTTCAGATATTATTGTTGCACACATAAAACGTCCAGATATTATTGTTGCGCAGATAAAACGTTCAGATATTATTATTGCACAGAAAAAACGTTCAGATATTATTGTTACACAGATGAAACGTTCAGATATAATTGTTGCACAGATGAAACGTTCAGATATTATTGTTGCACAGATAAAACGTTCAGATATTATTGTTGCACAGATAAAACGTTCAGATATTATTGTTGCACAGACAAAACGTCCAAATATTCTTGTTGCACAGATAAAACGTTCAGATATTGTTGTTACAAAGACAAAACGTACATATATTATTGTTGCACAGATAAAACGTTCACATATTATTGTTACACAGATAAAACGTTCAGATATTATTGTTACACAGATGAAACGTCCAGACATTATTGTTGCACAGATAAAACGTTCAGATATTATTGTTACACACAATAAACGTTCAGATGTTATTGTTGCATAGAAAAAAACGTCCAGATATTATTGTTGCACAGATAAAACGTTCATATATTATTGTTGCAGAGACGAAACGTCCAGATATTACTGTTGCACAGATAAAACGTTCAAATATTATTGTTGCACAGATAAAACGTTCAGATATTATTGTTTCACGGACAAAACGTCCAAATATTCTTGTTGCACAGATAGAACGTCCAGATATTGTTGTTACAAAGACAAAACGTACATATATTATTGTTGCACAGATAAAACGTTCACATATTATTGTTACACAGATAAAACGTTCAGATATTATTGTTACACAGATAAAACGTTCAGAAATTATTGTTGTCAATGTAAAACGTTCACATATTATTGTTACACAGATAAAACGTCCAGATATTATTGTTGCACAGATAAAACGTTCAGATATTATTGTTGCACAGACATAAGTTCAGATATTATTTTTGCACAAATGAACCTTCCAGATATTATTATTACACAGATATATCGTTCAGATATTGTTGTTTCACAGGCAAAAGTTAAGATATTATTGTTACACAGATGAAACGTTCAGATATTATTGTTGCACAGAAAAAACGTTCAGATATTATTGGTACACAGATAAAACGTCCAGATATTATTGTTGCAGAGATAAAACGTTCAGATATTATTGTTCTACATATAAAACTTTCAGATATTTTTGCTGTAGAGATGGTACGATTATTCATCTTGCTCATTGTCGACGACCCGATGATGGTGATGACATGGTTGCACCACGAATTATTGACCCTGTGAGACAATGTGTCCTTTATTTTTATTTTTATTATGGATGGAAACTCTCAGCAGAGGGCACGATGGAAACTCTCAGCAGAGGGCACGATGGAAACTCTCAGGAGAGGGCACGATGAAAACTTTTAGCAGAGGGCACGATGGAAACTCTCAGCAGAGGGCACGATGGAAAACTCTCAGCAGAGGGCACGATGGAAACTCTCAGCAGAGGGCACGATGGAAACTCTCAGCAGAAGGCACGATGGAAACTCTCAGCAGAGGGCACGATGGAAACTCTCAGGAGAGGGCACGATGAAAACTCTCAGCAGAGGGCACGATGGAAACTCTCAGCAGAGGGCACGATGGAAACTCTCAGCAGAGGGCACGATGGAAACTCTCAGCAGAGGGCATGATGAAAACTCCCAGCAGAGGGCACAATGGAAACTCTCAGCAGAGGGCACGATGAAAATATCGATGTGAACAGTACAAACGTAGAAGTGGCAGCCCTTGACATGTTGACCTCTTGACCTTTGCGTGAGTACCAATATAAGTGTTGGTATTCTTGACTATATGACCCAGCAACGTGTTTTTAATGGTGCATGTCGTCATGGTTACTGGCACTGTCTCCGCAGTAGAAGACAGCTACGTACAGAGTTCCGCCATGTTGTGTAAACCTACACTATAAGTATATACCTGGCATGATTGCTGTTAGTCTCACAGTCCCTCAATGGTTAGTCTCACAGTCCCTCAACCCAACTGTTTGATCCCGTCTGTCCAGCACTGCCATTACTGCCAAAGCTCTGGATGAAGCAAGTCTAGATTTCCCCAGGTATAGGGCTATCATCTACAAACAAACGAGCTCTCTTCAGGGGTCAGGTTACAGGGGAGACATATCAAACTCCCTAGGGGACAGAGCTTTATACAAAGACTAACGATTAATCTCGTTACACGAATACGATTAAACGAATATAAATCATTTTGACAAATAAACCCGTTTTAATTGAAAAGAAACCCTGTGAGATGGGAAACCCAGAACCTGAAGAAATCTAGACTTGCTTCATTTAGGACTTTACCGTTGCAGGGAGGGCTAGGCTGTAGGGGAAATCTAGACTTGCTTCATTTAGGACTTTACCGTTGTGGGGAGGGCTAGGCTGTAGGGGAAATCTAGACTTGCTTCATTTAGGACTTTACCGTCGCGGGGAGGGCTGGGCTGTAGGGGAAATCTAGACTTGCTTCATTTAGGACTTTACCGTTGCGGGGAGGGCTGGGCTGTAGGGGAAATCTAGACTTGCTTCATTTAGGACTTTACCGTCGCGGGGAGGGCTGGGCTGTAGGGAAATCTAGACTTGCTTCATTTAGGACTTTACCGTTGCGGGGAGGGCTGGGCTGTAGGGGAAATCTAGACTTGCTTCATTTAGGACTTTACCGTCGTGGGGAGGGCTGGGCTGTAGGGGAAATCTAGACTTGCTTCATTTAGGACTTTACCGTTGCGGGGAGGGCTGGGCTGTAGGGGAAATCTAGACTTGCTTCATTTAGGACTTTACCGTCGTGGGGAGGGCTAGGCTGTAGGGGATATCTAGATTTGCTTCATTTAGGACTTTACCGTTGCAGGGAGGGCTAGGCTGTAGGGAAAATAATATGGTTCAGGGACTGAACAGAACTGTAGTAACTTTAGCATCTGCCAACACTTAATCAACAAACACAGTGTGTGGCAGGAGGCTGGTGTGCCGAGGGTCTAGTCCTGCAACAAGTATGTGGAATGGACATAGTCTGTGATCTTCAATAGGCAAGTCTGTTTGAAGTGACTGCATGGAGAAAGGCTCCCTGGGAATTCTATTTAGGAAATAGTCACATTCGTATAACTAGTTATCCTCACTTATAACACACGTGGCCTGAGGCCCAGAGTGACTATAATTATGCCTAAGGTTTAATTGTGTAACACACGGAGTGTTGCTTTCACTGGCCGGCTACACGTTTTCAAAGAGTCACATACATGTATTTACATATCATAAAAGTAGGTACTTTAACATTTGGAGGCAAACTAAAACTCCTCGATATTTTATTCACGTATTGGGTATTCCAGATAAAACTTCTGTTTGTCAAGCAAAGTTCCAAATCACAAAGATTTCAAAATATGAATGGAAGGACTAGGAGTTAAGGGCAGGACTACTCTGGTTAGACACCCAGGTGAGAGGACAGAGCTGGGCAAGAGGGCCAATACATCTCCCTGTCGTTTAAACCTTTATTTGACGGTTGTAACATATGTAATTGATCAGGACCCAGCAGGTGTAGCCCCTGGGTGGTTAGTCTCTGAATCTCTCATCTCACTTGGCTCCTTCCAGTAAATGGAGCCCTGTTTCTCACAGAATATATCTTCAGTGACTAAACGTTGGGGTCTGTACGTGTTCCTATAGCTGTTTCAGAGTAGTGTGCAGTTAACTTTTCCGCCCACGCCATTTCTCCCCGTTAGCATTTAGTTGCTAAGTGTTTGGTAATACGCTCGCTGATATTAAAGGTGACAGTTTGAAGACGAGCAAAGGTGTTGTCTGACGACTGGAAGCAAATTTGGTTGGGACCTGGCACGGCTCACGCAATCTTCTCCTGTAGGGTGGGTGATCGGATGGTGGGGGGAGGGTGTGCATGTGAATTTATCTTCCTAGGTGGCCTTTGCACACACACACACACACACACACGCACACACACACGAACGCACACACACATATACGCACATCAAATATCACATGTTATCATTTTATGTCAGTTAACATCAATTTATTAATAAAGTCCCATTTAACACGAAAGTGGGTGATGGGGTGAGTCAGTCATTTCGGATCTGAACAGTTTTCAACAATACGACATCAAGGGACAAGCAATGTATACTTCACTCACTACCTGTTTATACCCAAATTGGGATTCGAACCCGGGTGTGGCACAGCAGGTGTCTCCGGGGACTTAGCAAACCTCCTTATTCTGGTTGTGAAACTTTACTAACATCTTAATTAAAATGAAATAGAATCCTATAAAGTTGGATGGTTTCAGCAAGTAATGAGAACACAATACTTACTACATTAATTTCACCTTGACAAACACAAATTATGAATGCGCGCAATGTTGCAGATTTTTGTGACAAAAACTGCGTAATAAAAGACTGTTTTAATACCAAGAGCATATTTGTCAGTCTGTCATCATCAACAAACTGCATTTATTCTATACGCGAAAAATATGCTATCTTGTAACGCAAACATGTGTTGCCGAAATACTTTTTCACATTTGGTGAGCGATTGACAGCCATTCATGCAACACCATTGAGGAAGTCGCCATGCAAGTGGGAATGCCCTTGCAGCTGGTCGCAATCGACCTTCACCCCGGTTGCAGGGTCAAAGGTTAGAGCTCTCCCCGATCTGAATGTCAGAGCTATTGTCGGTGTTCGCGCACTATTGGTGATAGTGTTGGCTACATTTAGAGACAATTCAGTGCATCGGTACCTTCAAGCTGCTGACATGGCGACAGAAGAAGGGAGAAACGTGGTCATTGCCATAGATGACAGCGAGTTCTCGGAATATGCATTCGACTGTGAGTAGAACTAGCAGCCCTGTGCAGCAATAATTTACACGTCCTAAAACATCCAGTGTCTAGTCCAGACGAACACAAACCGCAAAAACCGACAGGGCCGTTCCGCGAAATAATAATTCATAGGTTTAGCGTGCGGGGGTGGACATTTTAACTATCTGTGAATGAAAACATATTCTAGATAACATTGCACACATGTCAAATTGTGTCATCCAGTCTAGCATGAGTCTGAGGTTGTTGAACATGCACGCCGAACATTGTCACGGTGTCTCATTCTGGTGTACTGACTAGCTGCAGCAACAGACGCAGGGCGGAGCATCACTTGATCATACCGATACTGAGATGAGGTGATTTCTTCATTTTTCATATATCGTATTTGATTTGAGAAACGTTTCCCCATCACGATCATCAATAATAACTCACGTTGCCATTTTCGACGTTCTCCTTTAGTCGAGGTTATCATCACACAGGTTGAAGTGTACATTCACATAGGGACTTGTGGGCAGTGTTTCTTTCTTTCTTTGTTTCAATCAGTCATCAGAGTTCAAGATCAAGATATGTCCCCATTCCTTACATATATATATATAGTAGATAGTATGATGGGCAGATAAACTGATCCTGGTGATCAGGAAGGGAGACAATGCCTTACTTATGTGAAGAGATGTGAAGAGATGTGAAGACAGGATTTCCTGGGAGTTTGGGGGCAGTAGGAGGTGTTCTTTGTTGAGACATAACTGTACTGATGTTGAATAGATACTATGAGTCAGGTTTATTTCTGTTTGGTAGATATCATATATACTTCTCATCAAAAGTTAGACTCACTAGTGTAAATATAGCCACTTACTTCAGGCAACTGTTCTAAACTAAATTTTGCAAAAATATTCCATACTGTTTAGGAGTACTGTTTACACATGAACTGATGTATTGTATAACAAATTCGTAACATTGAAAAGATTATTGTCATGAGTTCAGTAAATGATGAAAATCTTTGAAAATTGTGAATTCTTAACTAAACTTTACACCACGACCCAGCTGTTCATATGTTCAATATTGGCACATGCTTTTCAGCAGTTTGATGCATGATCCTCGTGTAATTCATCTGCATAAAGTTTGCAGTTGGTTCCCCAAGTTAGTGGAGAAATCAACCTTCAGTATAATAAAATATCATATATATATACATAACATATGGTGAGTGTTTTAAGTGAGTCTAAACTTTTGGCGTGAAGTATATTACGATTTAAAATTGTATAACACGAGGAAGTAACTATAATGCTTTGGTATGTTTCTAACATGAAACAAGTACTAAATAGAAAATCGATCGGCATCATTTTTTTTGTGAACAGCAAAAACTTATGCCATGAGTGTGAAAAGAACAGCTAACTAGCTTATGCCATGATCGGTGTGAAAAGAACAGCTAACTAGCTTATGCCATGAGTGTGAAAAGAACAGGTAACTAGCTTCTGTCGCTGAACTATTAGTGATGCCATTTTTATTGTGATGTCCTGGAAACTGATACTGTCAATAGCCTCCAAAGCATTGTGATGTCCTGGAAACTGATACTGTCAATAGCCTCCAAAGCATTGTGATGAAATGGTACTGATATCTCTAGGGATAGAGTTTGATCTCACTCAAGGGTGGATGTCCCCCGCTGTGATATTGCTGGAATATTTCTATAAGCAGCGTAAAACAATGCTCACTCACTCACTCACTCACTCACAGCCTGGTTCCCTGGGTCTGTTGCGCCTGCGCTAACGCTTGGAAGCTGACCCAGGCAACCACTGCCGAATGGCGGCCTTCACTGCAGGGAGACGCGCCATACATTTACTATAGAAAAATCCGAGAACGTGTGGTTAGAATTTTTTCATAGCATTTTCATCGATACTATGGCAAAGTATACGTCACCAGAAAAGCAACCATCTTTACTTTCAGTGTACAAACACGTTATTTAAGCAGTTTCGAAACAAGAAAATCGTCGTTGCATTGGCTATATGTAAACAATTACACACACCCTATAATCATCACCGACATGTGCTTTGATATTTCGTGTCAGACAGGTATTGCCACGTAATCGTACACATAAAACATGGATCTGAATGACCACATTGATTGAATATAGTTAGCATCTTTATTTTAGCAAATTTGATGACGAAATTATTGCCGAGTATGTCCCGTGTCTTCCATCGTTTCAGGGTAGGTTTAGCGGGGTAGGTTTAGCGGATATATTGTTCGATCGCCTTGTGAAAGTACAAGGTAAAACGTTTAGATCATATGGATGATGTTAATGACAGGATTTGCCATTCTGATATTTAGCCTCTACAAAACAACATGAAACAGTTAGCATATATATCAATATCATTCAGAAATGTTTATGATTATAATGAACATGGTGAATCAAATGATCTATATACAAAAATGCACACTCATATACAGCTCAAAACAATGAATTTGATATTTTACATTACTAAACTGAATATATCAAAATACATGGTATGATCAGTATGTTAATACATCGGTATAACATATATACTGAGTCAAAAAAGAAACTTCACAAAATGTAATTTGAAAAATAATGAATAATTTTTCTCTGATGATACATCTATGTATCCGAAATGGGATCCCTTTTAAACCACAGTTCTAACGGTACTTGAAATGCCACGATTGTCATGTGCAACGTGAACGTGCTGTTGGCATGTTGCAAGCGGGAAGATCAGTTATTGACGTCGCAAGAGCAATGGGATGCAGCCGTCGTACTGTGCATGACTTGCGAGGTCGTCTACAACAAAGTGGCACCACTTCTGATCGCCCAAGGTCGGGTCGTCCACGTGTGACGTCACGAGCAGAAGACGGTCAAATCGTCCTACGTCACCTACGTGACAGATTTCTGCCAGCTGTTAACCAGGGCTGAGACGTTTAGAGGTCGACTGTCCTCACAGACCATTCGAAATCGGTTGCGGGCTGCCAATCTCTATTCTCGACGTCCATATCGTGGGACAATATTGACGCCGTTTCATCAACGTCAACGTCTGCTGTGGGCCCAACGTCACCTCCGATGGACCCAGAGAGACTGGAATCGAGTCGTCTTTAGCGATGAATCCAGGTTTACCCTCAGATTCGCGGACGGCGGGCATAGAGTCTGGAGACGACGTCGTGAACGGTATGCCCAATGTTGTGTACAGGAAGTCGACAGATTCGGGGGCGGAAGTTGCATGGTGTGGGGTGTTTTCTGTGGGAACAACCGTTCCCAACTTCTGGTCATCCGTGGAAACCTCACAGCTGCTGCTTACCGCGACCAGGTGCTCACCACTGAACTCGTTCCTTTCATGGCAGCTCATGGCCCAGGTCTACAGTTCCAGCATGATAATGCTCGGCCGCAATGTTGAGATGTTGACACGAAATTTCCTTCAAAACGCTGGAATCAACGTCATGGACTGGCCATCGAGGTCCCCTGACCTTAATCCAATAGAGCACGTTTGGGATGCACTTGGGAGAAGGCTTCGTGGTCTTAGGAACCAACCTCAGAATTTGCAGAAACTTGGCACTGCCTTGCAAGAGCAATGGCGCAGAATCCCCAACCATGTGTTCACAAGCATCAGGCAGTCGATGAGGAGACGGTGTTTGGTAGTGGTGAATGCGAGGGGCGGCCATACACGATATTGAACTGAGAAATTTCACATTTTTATTCTTGTGACTTGACATTCTGTATACCCATGTTTTGGAACGGCGGTGTAGCCTAATGGAACTGATTATGGCACTGTCAGTGTATCGAGTACATCACACAGATCTCAGCAATGAAATAATAACAATTTAACCATCTTACCATCTCTTGTTCTTTTATAGTGCCATGAAGAAAGAATGTGAAGTTTCTTTTTTGACTCAGTATATGTGAAAAAGAACTTTTTAGACAGATGAACATTCCACTATTTGTGAACTGTTGAATAAGGGTGATTTTTACCAATGATACCTGTCATGAGAACTGTAGTTTTTATAGCTTTAAGCCAGTATCAGAGTATACATTTGCTGTACATTGATTATTTTGAGCATGATTACCCTGGTGTTATAAGAATACATCTGATACAGATCATCTGATGTAAGCAATTTTTCAGTCAGATATCAGTTAACTAGTTTGGTTAAATGCTGCTATGGACTCTTTTCTTTATTTTATTATACTTTACAGCAGTGCATGCATAAATAATTCAACACACCATCAGTGATTTTGCTTTTGAATTTTAGGTTATTTGCTCTATACTTGTTGACCAGTTCACTATTGTGATTATATTTTTTTTAAATCAAAAGTTTATGTATCTTGAAATTGTATCTTTATGTAGATATTTGGGTATTGTGTTAACACCTAAACTTATTTGGACTAAAGCACAAACTACTCTTGGTGCACAGAGTAAAAAGGCTGTTATGGCATTGTACAGATGTCAAAAGAAAGTTGAAAATAAACCATGTCAAGATTAATTATGATATTTAATGCTATGAGTGTTCCTATAGTGTGTAGTGTGCAGAAGTATAGGGGACCTCATACTGTAAAATTATTGAAGATGTATAGCATAAAATGTGTAAACGGTTTCTCAAAACAGCAAACAATGCTATGGTTTGGGGAGAATGTGGCAGAGCCCCTCTCCAACTTGTGCACACCACAAGCCCTATAAGGTATTAGATACAGGCTCGGGAATGCCGTACCTCAAATTATATAAATTCTGTTTAGACTCATTCATATTTAGAATATTCTGATTTGAATATGTGCGTTAGCACAATATGTGAAGATATTTATTCGCCTGATTCCTTCTATTAACAGCATTTTAAATCACTGTTAAATGTGGAAAAGAATCTTACACACCATATCCCTGTACACCTAAGACTAGCCATGGCTCTTTTCAGTTGTAGTAGGTTTAAACTTCCAGTCAATTTTGGAATATACACAACTTTCCCATACACTGAATGACTGTAAATATTGTATATTAAGGGGAAGATATTTTGTTGAAGATGAGTTTCATATG